ACAAAAAAAAAGGGCCCATGATGAGTTTAGAAGGGAATTGGGTGCCTTGGAAAAGGCCAGCATAAAGTGCAGCAAGTGGGAGCTGCTGTGCCTCTGCATAAGATTTGAGAATTCTTCCCAAAAAAAAAAAAAAACCTGAAGCTAAAACGTTTAACACCCTCATTCGGGGGGAATCTGCTCCTGGTGTCAAGATGGCAAAACCTGATTTATCCCCATGAAAAAGAAGAAATGAGTATGCAGATAAAGTCTGAAATTGAAATGGTCCACAAATTCAAGTGTAAGCAGGGAAAAAACTGTGAATGATGGCAGGCATGGCAGATCTGGTTTTAGATTGGAAAAACCAAAAGAGTGTGTGCTATTAATGGATTTTTGGAGGCAGGAGTAGCTCATCTGTTAAAGAAACCAATCATGTCATGTTGATTTTCATGATCAAAAACAGCAGAGAAACCAATAATTATACTATTGGAAGATCTAACCATATGCTGTGGGGTTTAGACAAAATGATCTATAATTAAGGTTTGATTTGATGTTTGAATGAAAAATGACAAAGGCCCAAAACTCTAAAAAAACCCATAGATTTTGGAGAAAAAAAAAAATCAAGCATCCAAGATCTCATGTAAATTGGTAAATCCCACTAAGCAGATTTTGTGGGTTGGGGGGATCTAACTCCTTTCTTTCTTTTGATATAGTTTTTTGGCATTTTCCTCCCAATTCCTCTCCCTCTTCACAGGATTAATACCCAAGTTGTCCACAATTATTGAAGACCTTCCAAAAAAAAAAAAGTTTAACCTTAAACTCAAAGTTATCACTGAGATTACAAAGAAGATTTGGCATGAAATGCTGTGAAATGTGCTGGCCACTTGACTTGCATTAAAGATTTCCAGGTAATATTAGTACTAAGGATCTCCTTTTTCTAATCTAAAAAATCCAAATTTTCAACTATGTCTGTTTCCTATCTTCTTGCCCATCCCTGTATCAATATGCTATAAAATTTTAAAGAAGGAATCTGTTTTCCAGGGAATAAGACAACAATGGAAAACACACAGTAAATTAATAGGGTAACAAGCTCTAATTCATGTCCTCTTCCATCCTTTTTATTAATCTTATCACAACCTCTGCTATTTGATTTGTCTTGTCATGGATTCTCATGACAGTATCAGACTATGTTAATTAATAAATGGTAATAAATTCCTTTATTAACAACTAAATTCCAATACAGATATATATACACGTATTCTTTTTGTTCCTAAATATTTGGTTTTTTTAAAAAAAAATTATTGAAATTAAGGTAAAAATTTTGATTTTGATGTATTTTATACTAGAATTTACAAAAAAATCTATAAACAAAAAAAATTGGACCAAAGTAATATTATTTTTCTCGTCCTCTAATCTTATTATAGGGTTCCTCATTAACAAAGTTCATAAAGTTAATGTCAGCTTCTAGAAATTAAGGATAAACCATTTTTAATTATGATAATAATTATAGATAATTAAACTCCATAAAAAATATATATGATGATTTCTAGGAAGTATCAGAATGAGAAAGAGAGAGGTAAACACTGCACCAATATTCCCGGTGTTTTGATAGGCCGACAATCGGACAAAATATGTTCACTCAGACAACTTCCTCTTCAACATGAAATAAATTAATCAAACATTAGTTGAAAATCATGACATCAACCTTAATATAATACTAACTTTCTTGGTATTAGATTTGCATTATGATAATAATTTAGTACAAAAACTGAGGGTTTGAACATAAGGACTGTAGCAAGAACAACCCAAAAATAGAAATGCAAAAATATATAAAAAAATAAAAAAAATTAATTGTGGGGAATCCGAGCCTGATGTCTCACTTATAGCTGTTCTCATCTGCTTCAATTTTTTAGTTACATAATATTTAGTGGTTACACATCTAACTGCTAGATTCGGTCTCACATTCAGCACTTTAATATATTAGTCTGGGTTTAAGCACATTCACTCATGTGATTATATCAGGAGATTTTTAATAAATCTTTATAAATCTATTTAAACACAATTAACATAATTGATTTACACAAATCAATATAGTAATTTGATTAACTAACTAAGTTAAGCATTTAAACCGTTAAAGACACGTAATTATCATGTCTTAAACGTATAAACACAATTTATATATGTAGCATAATAACTCTATTGTTAACTGACATTTGTGTTCAAAATTATTAAATTTAGCTAGAATTGCTAGGGTTTATTTCATCGAAGAATGAACTTATTATTAATAAGCTTTGGTGTATAAATTAATTTGTACTATATGATTGGGAATCATATATGATCACTATAAATTTCTTTAACATGAAGAATTGGTCCTCTCACTTTGATTGAGCTAGAAGCAAAGTTGCTTGGCCACGATTTCTTTAATAATTAAGCAGCAGCATATGATCACTAACACACTGCTTCTAAAAGAATATTCAGGGTTTGGCTGCATGGGGACATACTACAAACATCTCTCTTTTTCTTTTCTCTCGACTTTCTCTTTTCCCATGTGATAAAAAATAATCGAACCAATCGAACTGATCATATCCATGAAATATTTATATTATATTTATATCTATATCTCATCAAAATGGAAAAAAAAAAGAACAAATGATGGTCTTATTGTATTTTGATTGACAATTAATCTCTGAATTAAAATGGAGCTACTGACTGAGTAGTCTATGTCCCATGGTCCCAAGTTCTGAGGGTGCATGTATATGATGTCGATGTTTTATTTTTTTCTCCCATTCTCATGTTTCTGAGAAATTAAATCAATGTTCCTAATTAAAAAGAAATGCTTGCACAGCTCACTTTGTCACGTCAATGACATGAAAGGTATAGTACTTGGATTACTTGTTCATGTAACAATTCCCTGGTGATGGTTCAGCAGAACAGGCAAGCCAAATTATGCATAGGATTTCAAGCTGTTTCCCCCTTCTTTTCCCTCTCTATCATTCATGGATGGAGCAAGAGCCTGTGATAAAGACAAGTAAATCGACAGGCCCTTGTCTTGGTTGCCAGAGAACTGAATTCTGTTACAAAATCTCATATAAAACAAGTGAAGAAGGGATGTTGATTTTGTAAATGTGAATATTGTACATTTTAATAAATTAGTTTTAAAAAAAAGAACTTGAGATAAGGATAAGTAAATTTACGGATTTTTTTTCAAATTGTTAAAAAATTGAATTCTAATATACGAAATTTTATATGAAATGAGTGAAAAAGATATTTTGAATATATAAAGATGAACATTACACATCACAATAGATTCACTATTTGAAAAGAAAGTAAGAGTTTGAAGTAAAGACAAATAAATCCACAGACCATTCCCCTAATAATTAGAAAAATGAATTTTAATACGTGTTAATGTTTAGAAATTTAATATCGAAATGTAAAAAGAAGATTTTGAATTTATAAATATGAACACTATACGTCTCAATAGATTAATTTTTTCTTTAAATTAGGATCCTGTGATACTATCGATGATGATAAATTATAATTAATTAAGGATTGATGAAGGGAATTAGCATAAAGTAGAAGTATGATGGACATGAAAGCAACGGGAATCGAAATGAACGAACAAAGAATAGACAGGAAATTTAAGGGCACATGGGCTTGAAGTTAAGGGCTTAATAAACCAACCCGGGAACAAAGAGAGGGGCAGCTGAAAGTTGGTGGTCGGGCGATCCCCAAGCCTTGATGGGAACCTCACTCGCATCTTCGGAACATTGCTTTCAATTCTCTCCCAATGATATTTATTTTTTGTGTGTAGCATTCTCTAACTATATGTAATTCAAAGTACATTTAAAACTAAAAGCATCTTTAATTGTGAGAAAAATAAAAAAGACCAACACCCGACAAAGTAAGGCATCCATGGACTTTATGATAAAATCTTTTAAAGGAACACGAAGAATTAAGGCCCTTTTGTTTTTGAACACAAATGAAATTTATGTCATTGTCTAAGAAATAATTCTTTTTTTCTCTTTTATATGGATGAGAGTTAAAGGCTATTATGATTTCCTTCTATCCTTATCCGTGTTGATACGTTTTAAAAGTTTGAAGATTTCAATTGAATAGTATTTTTGGAGTTATTACTATTATTGTTGTTATTGTTATCATTATTGATTTTTTTTAGATGTTTTTGTATAATTTTCATTAAAGATGTACATTCGATTAGTTCGATTTGAAAATTTTAAAAATAATTAAAATAATCAAAATATATCTTGAAAACAAAAAAAAAATAAAATGAACTATGCTGGTTGGTTCGATCGGTTTTTTTTTAATCTTAATTTTTCTTAGTTCTTATTGTTTTCTTATTATTTAAAAAATTTCAAGATTTCAATTGAAGAGTATTTTTAGAGGTATTATTGTTAACCTTATTGACTACTTTTCAAAACTTTTATATAATTTCCATTAAGGATGTACATTCAATCAATTCAATTCGAAAAAATTTTAAAAATGAAATTAATCAAACAAATCAAATTATCATAAAATTATGCTGATTAGTTGTATCTGAGTAATTAATTAATTAATTAATATATAATTTTTTTATTTAAAGAATAGAGTTCAATCTCTATCTTCTCAATTCAGAAAAACCAAAACTATGTCGACCAGTTTGGCAGAATCTAGGCAACTCTAGACTTTTCCCTATTTCTTAGTTTTCCTTGTCATTAAGTAATGGATTGAGAACAAGATAGGCTAGGCCCAGGCGAGCCAGTCTGAGCAATGAAATGAGCCCGAACCTTGGTCATGTTGCTCTGGTCCGGCCCTCTGGCAGAGCCATCGGCTTCGAAATGTTTGCTCGTAAGCCTGTCAATAGAAAATCATTGGGCTGATTAGGAACTAGAAAGAGCATTACTCCGAGAGAATCCGTGCGGTATCAAGAGCGCGGCGAAACGATTTTCACGAGAAGTTTACATTTATATATCACGAAAATCATTAATCGGGAAAACTTGTTTGATTCAACCACCTTGGGGAAAAGTTTGATACTATAATATTATTCTAAGTCTGAAACGGTCTGCCAAAATAGGGTGCTTGGCTTCTGTAGCATTCATCAGTCTCTTACAGACACGCACATACCCCTCGTATAAAGAGAAAAAGAAGATAATTTCCTTTCAAGAAACTGCTGATTCCTCTCTAACCATCATCTCATCTGTGCTTACAAAACCCCATTTTGTTTCACTAAAACAACTCGAGTGTGGGTGTGTTAACTCATTTAGCGTGAGTGAAGGAGGTTTAGCTAAGGTAAAGATGCACCCACCCATGAGAAAGGTAGCAGCTTTGGTTTTAAACTGCCTCTTGTTGATGGGGTGCTATCTGGGTATGTTTTCTTTTTCATATATACTATACTTCTAGTTTCTTGTTGGTTGTTGCTTCTAGTTTGTTGGTTCAGAGTTGATTTCTTTCTATTACTTCACGTTGGCCTCTGCTTTTCTTTTCTTCTATCCGTTTCATGATTCTTGGCGTGTCCAAATCTTCTTGGTTCCTTTGCTGAGATCTTCTTGTTCTGAAACCTTGCGGTTGCAGCTTCCTGGTGGAGACAGTAATGGCATAGTGCTGTTTCTCTTTCTCAGTAAAAATAACGTAGTTTTTAATCCTAAAGACTACGAGACTAAGATTGGAGTAGCATTGTTTTCTCCTTTCTTTTTCTTGATTAGTGGAAATGGGGAACATCCTGTTATTTACTAATCTTCTTTGTTTACGTTAATTGGATGATCATCTTGCTTCTTTTGCTCTAAAGCTAGGCCTTGTCTTCATGCTTAATTCTCTCCATCATGACCTCTGAAAAATGATTGTGACTTGACAAAACAAACCTCATTTAATAATTATAATGATGGCATTGTCTGTCTTTTTGCTGCCTTTGTAGTTTATGCCTGATTAAACTGAGAATCCTAATTCATATTTATCATTAAGCACAGCATGTTTACCACTTGAGGATTAAAACTGAAGCAGTGCCTAGATCAGAATTTGATTACTGCAACTTTGCTTAACGTGTTTGAGTTGTGCTCAGACTGCAGCTGATTCCCACCTTAGCATCTGAAGGGTGGAATCAAGACTTGTAAAATATTAGTTTTTCTCTTTTAGGAGCAAAGATGTTCGCAGCAATTTTCTGTGCCATTTTATAACCATTGATACCATCGTTGATTAGTTTACTCAGCTACTAATCTGCTTTGTTCTGTTTGTGTCTCAATTCTTTGCAATTGTAGTCCCAACAATGGAATTGTCTGTGCAAGAGAAGGCAGAAGCAGCGATTCCGGTCACAACACTTTCACCTCCAGAAGGCAACACAACTTTCCTTGATGGTACAACATGGTGTGTGGCCCTGGCCGGGGTTTCCCAGATTGATTTGCAGAATGCATTAGATTGGGCATGTGGTCTGGGAATGGCTGATTGCAAGGCAATCCAAGAGGGAGGACAATGCTATGAACCTGACACCCTCGTGTCTCATGCCTCCTATGCCTTCAATAACTATTACCAACAGAATGGCAATTCTGATATTGCTTGCAATTTCGGAGGAACTGCCACTTTAACAAAAAAAAACCCCAGTAAGCAATTCCTTCACGTTACATTAAACCCCCTCCCCCTCTGGTTATTAATTAATTTTCACAGACTGGTATATCCTTTGAACAGAGTATAACATGTTTCCAATGAAAGAAAGAAAATCTATATCCAGTTTGGTTTCTTTTCTTTTGAGGGAATATCCTGATTTCTGAAATCATAAATAGCATATATAGCTTGAAAGGCGTCATTGTTTCCGTCATTAGTTTTAATGTACATGGAAAATTGACAGTTGTAGTTAGGATTTGTGTCCATAGTTCTTCGAAGTTGTCCTTCAGGAATTGCTCCAAAGTGATTCTTTTTGGTTATAAACAAAATATTGTTCAACATGCAAATACATTGCATATATCCCTGACTTCCAAGTTTGCTCATGCTATCTGCAGGTTATGGAAAGTGCCTCTATTCTGCACCAGGGTACGAATGTTCATCCTGTACATTGTTCATTTTCTTGTATACTTTGCAGGGTTCTGGATGTTGAGTATATGCAATGTGATTTCTTTTTTGTTGTGGTTTTGCAGATCTGTTGGCTCTGCAGCACCACCTCCTTTGTCCAAATACCAGTCATGCTTTTTATGGTGGGAAATTGTCGGGGTTTTACTGCTTTTGTACAAGGGAAGCTGATGCAAGGTTGATCTTTGCCCTTACTTGCACTTGAAGCTTGAATGATCTTTGCCCGTTTTTTGTTGAAATATGGTTGAAATGCTTAAAAATGTAAAGGCAGATGGATTAAGAGCATAATCAGAGTTAGAGGATTCCTATCTTTGTAATTGGTTTAGGAATCTAATTTTTATCTATTTATTACTATAGTTTTTGTTGTTCATACCATGTAGGCATGCTGGTCCATATATATACTAGTATATTGTTCTAAATTTGTGAAAAAAAGAAGAAGACCAACAGCCTAAAATATCGAGCCTCCTGTCCTGTGTCCTGGACCAGAGATTTTCGTGAGAAATTGAGAGACGATATAGAAAAGAGAAATGAATCAAGGAAAGGAGGATTAATGGATGAATACTACAGTCTAGCAAGGTTAAGTAAAGAACTAACAAGGGAGGAACCAAAAGCAGAAGGAAAAGTGAGTGAAATCCTGACAGAAGGAAGAAAGTGGGCCACAAGTTCACTACAGTATCTCTGTCATAGGCTGATAGCTTTTGTCCTTTGTCTGAAACCCATTTGCTTGGGGCAGTGCTCGTAGCAGTTGGCACGCATGAATGTCAATTGTGTCATCAGGTCGGCGTCTGTCAACCATGAAAGCCATGGCTTTTCAGTTTAATTTTTTCCCATTTACCGTAAGGATTAAGGGCTTAAACCCCCCAAAAAAGATCTAAATCCAGCCCCTCGTTTTGTCTTTTTGGTTGCTATGATGCTCACTGTCACTGGCCTTTCTTAAATGAGAAATAAATGATGAATAGGGCATTTAACGAGTTGTGTGTAAGTTTTTAATAAATTTAAATAATATTTTTTAAAACTTTGATTAGTTCAAATTTGTTTTTCCAAATGTTTTAGAGGAAATTCAAAATCAAAATTAAGTGTTCTTTTAAAAGGAAAAGAATAAAATTTTATTTGATCGAGCAAAAAAAATGCTCTACATGAACTATAATTGAACTCAAACTTTTCCCTTCAAAATCAAGGCTAGGCAAATATTAACCATATAAACTATGAATTCCCTTAATATCATCATCATTCAATCCTTTAATTTGTCCAGGTTCAATAAATGGGAACATTATGGCCTGTTTGACGGTGGAATGTTTAAGTCCCAAAAGATGGCCGATTTCATGCAGGCCAACCGTGCCTATGTCAAACGCGCCAGGCTTGGCGCCCACCGTCCAGTTCTCATCCCCATCAAATATGTAACCTCCCGTCGGTTGGTGCGAAAGCATGAGCCAGGACTCCCCCCCGGGCCATCGAAAGAAACCCCATCCCCATGATTACGCCTCTGAAAACTGATTTTCAAATCAGCATTTTTATAATCCTGCACCAAGCTGAACTGGAACTTTGTCACCCAGGCCCACGTCGAGAAAGCCTGCGCAACGGGGGCCATGGCATCTGGTCGAGTTCCTGGACGGAAAGCGTACGTCAGTTTGGTCTTGGAAGGTGGCCATTTCGGTCTTCCATTGAAGAATGCATAACAAGGCACTGCATGAAAAGAGCTAGAGCCACTGTGGTTTCCGCCATTGATGATGTTGTCATCAGGCACCCCACATCGTGGCAGGTTCATGATCGATATGGTTTCAGCTTCCAAGGTTCCGGTGACCCTCAGGTTGAAATTGTGTTGGTAAGTCTTGATGGCATATCATTAAAGTTTATTTGGGGTCCTCCATGGTTAGGTTCGATAGAGCTCAAGTACCCGAATCTTCTAAGGTGCATTTTCAAGTCCCCGATGGCCTTAACCTTGTCACCCTTGCGACACCCCTCGAGCTGTTTCAGGAAGGCAAATGGTGATTGGTTCTCAGGATTTAGCTTGGCAAACACAGCGTGTGAAAACGAAGGAAGAAGGAAGAGAAAGGAAGCAGTTGCAAGGAGGGAAAACAACTTAGATTGCATGACTAAATTATTAAGAAAGTATAGCTAAAATGCTTGTCGTTGCTCATGGTTTTTCTTTTAGGTCCTTTTTATAGATATTTAACAAGAAAAAAATATGGTAAGTTTGCTTAATTTTGGTATAGAAGAACTTAATAAGGACCTGACATAAAATTAAACGGAGATATAAATTGTAATTAATGATTCAATAGAATGTAGTAATAAGCAATAAATCATGGTTACTAATTAAGTAGACTGACACATATGCATTGTATTGTTTATACCAGCTAATCTTTGAATCAAATTGGATGATCATTATGTAATATCTTTTATTCGTGGCAATATAAGTAAACATTTTAGGGATGAAGCTGGAGGGCCATATTATCACTTAATTACGATAATAACATTATTGGACAAATTTCTAACGAAATTGATTCCCTCGAAACTATATGGGATACATTGTTTCCAACCAAATCAATTAAGCGAAACACCTTGTAATTTTTGCAGTGAATGAGCAGCGCAGTGATTGGCAATGATTTTGGGGGCACATGAGATGATGAGGAAGATTGAGTGGCAAGTACGTAGTTGTGCTGTAGCTGGACTCCCACATGAATATTGCAACATGCAGTGCTGGTTTATCCTTATGGACTTTGGTCAAAATGAACTTCTACGAGAGAGAGAGAGAGAAAGAGAGCATGCATGACGTTTGAGAGTCGAGACTACAGCTGGTTTTGCTTGAACTCCCGTGCATGGAAATTGGGTTGTAAATTACACTTCACCGCCCATCAAAGGAACCAAAACAAATTGCACTGTTTTTAATTACTCCTGCTGTAAAAAAAACTTGCTAAACCCAAATATGAACTTAAATTTAAATAATATTTCAACACATTAGCATTGGATAACTTGGTAGAAATTCAATCTTATTGTTTTGGGTTTTGGAATTGAAATAGTGGTTAAAAGGCACGGGTATTCATTTTTCATAATCACAAATGAAATTCTTAATATTTCAATAAAGTCACATTATAATTTCAGTTATTAGAAAAAGACTGTTTATTAATAATAAAATATAAATATCATGACAAATACTTCAAAGTAAATAAATAAAGAGTTTAAATCTCATATCAAACAAATAAAAAAAATTTTAAACAAATGAATGCTGCATACCTTGTCAAGCTAATATTTTGAAAAAAAAAATAACAAGTGCGAGATTGTAATAATAGATTCTACGTACTTTATTTCTTATGATTAAAAAAAAGAATTATAAAAGAAATTTAGACATAGACAAGCAGGAAACAATTATGGTTGAGTTGTTCTTGTGATGTTATTTTGAAAAAATTAGAGTAATCAAAGTAAACCTATACTTGTATATATTAATATAGAATAACATCATATGATTTTGATCCTATTGTGTTGTCTTTCAAGAGATCAGAATAATTATTAATATGGACAATAGAAGACATTCATATTTCATATTAAGAGGTGATAAAATACTTCAACAAAGTCACACTATAATTCTAATTATAAAAAAAATTATTGTTTTAAAAGATAATAACTATAAATGTTAAGTAAAATGCTTAAAAAAGATAAATATTTTAATCTCATATCAAAACAGAAAAAAAAAAATCTTGAAAAGAATGAACACTAGTCAAGTGAATATTTTGACAAAAAAAGGGGTAACCATGCGAGATTCAAGATGGTAGGAGTAGATTTTTGGTATCTTGTTTCTTATAACTAGAAGAAAGAATTATGAAAGAATTATAAAGAATTTGGGCAGAGACAGGCCGGAAACAATTAATAAGTGGCCCTCTTCCCATGCATCTAGCATGTGGATCGTAAGCTGACCCTGCCACCTCCATGCTTTTCGCCCCCATTCCGGTTCCCATGCTAATTAAATTGAAGACTTCATCAAACAGGATCTTCATCTCTCTCTCTGTCTCTCTACAAAGAAATGAAAGAGTACATGCATCAAAGATTAACGTTACGGTAAAAAAATGATGTAGACAAAGCATAAACCCATCTCTTTTGAGTCAAACTTCTCACATCAATCCATATTTGTGTAATATGATCTTTGGGGTTATTTTTTATTTATATATTTGTTAATATTTAATATTATTTTGGATAAAATAGAACCGTAAAGATAGTACACACTAACAACCGTTACGGATAAATTTACACTGAATAAAGTATAGTTAAAATCCAAATTTATTAAGGGAAAATGGTTCAAGTAACGTCCCTCTGAGGAAGGTGTAAGGAAAGGCAAAGCAGGCCAACGGCCAATGGAAAATATTGTGAAAAGGTCAAACCATCAGAGCACTAATTGCGCAGGATTTACAAGCAAGAGCCAACCATATTCCCAGACCTAGCCAGCACCAAAGAAAATTCTCAATAGAATAAAAAAAAAATTTACAGACAGAGACAAGGATTAGATCAGCAAAAGTCAAGAACGGGAGAAGAAGAAAAGGGGAGAGTGCAAAAGCAGTCTCTCTTTTTGGATCCCTCAACCTCATAATAGGACATAGAAATACTCATTGTTCCCTCTTTTATTATAAAGTTTTGACCCTTTTGCTTTCAATTTGTTTTTCCCTCTTTTGAAAGATCTTAGATTTTTCTCTCCCATTTCTTCGAGATGATCAGCCGTGGCGGTAGAGCATATTCATCTCCTGAGATAGCACGTCCTTCCTCTAGTGATTACCACCATGTTGAAGGTCAAGACTTCACTTTCGAAGGTAACCTTTTGAGCCTAGTGCTTGTCAGGCTCGTTTAATCATTGATTGTTTGCATGAATTTTCTTTGGTTTTTTTGCCATGATTAGGGATTGCTGCAAACGTGAAGCTACTTCTGAAGTTGATCCACGAGCAAAGCCAGGCGAGCAATGGGGATCAAGATGGTCGCAGAACGCAAAGGGTGGCTGGGATGATCAGCATTCTGGACGATGTTAAATCCCGGATCCAAAAATATTCACCACCTGTTGGCAGCCCTTTGAAGGAGTTCAGGCGGTGCAACACAGATCTCAGGCCTCATCGTGCTCCCAGGGACAAGAAGTCTGGTGCGGATCTTGTGATAGATGAGAAAGAGAAATTGAGAAGAGAGCTGCATGCAAGCTCTGCTGCAAGGAAGAGCCTGGAAGCTATGTGTTCTAGCTTGGGAAAGGAGAAAGAAATCATGGCCTCGGAGCTTTCTCGAAAGGTTCAAGAATTGAATGGAATGGAGGAACTCATCAATGATCTTAAGGCACAGAATGAGACGTTGCTGGCTAAAGTGCAAGCTTGCGCTGCAGAGCATAGAGAGAAGAAGCATGCGGGAGATCAGACTCAAGGGGTCAATGCTGCCCTTCAAGAGCGAAACAAGGCACTTTCGGAGCAACTTTTGAAGTCCCTTGATGGGTATCGATCCTTGAAGAGAAAATATAAAGATGCAAAAGAGGAAAGCGTGGGGATTCAAACAACGATCGAGGAAATGGGGGTTGAAGTAGCAGCAGGGCTTGGTCGAGTACATGGACTCAAGCAGCGGTTGGCAGCAACAGAAGTAGGGGAAGCAGACATTGAGAGGGAAATTTCAGCACTGGAATGCATGTTCGAGAGTTTAAATGTTACGATTTCGAAGCACATGCAAAAGAAAAGCACCTGTAACTGAGATCAAAATGCTGGTATGGTGGCCATGTCTTCTATTCCAGCATAGGAAAGTTTTGGCAGATGCTTCAGTTCAAGATGACAAATCATATCTGTGAATATTTTGGTATTATTGCATTGATGTAGTTCAGTTTTCTAGCTTGAGCCCACAATCTCAGTAGTTGCATAAACCCAAAGTTTTGTTCCTTTTCCATCTCATCTTGGAATCCATATGTATTTCATGTTGCTTTTTTGAAAGCTCTTTGTGGAAATAACTTGACTCTACTAATCATATGACAGATTTATGTAAATTTCACTGTAATCTGCAAGCTTTCTCCATGAAGAACAATCCATAAGCTATAAATTTTGCATGATTTTATTTTGCCATATTCTGATAGAACAGTTCTAATTTTCACTCCCAACTAGTTAAAGAAAATTCATTGTAATGGATTCACAGAAAACAATTTCTACTTCTCTTACCTGTTACATTGCAAGAGTACACATTTACAGATGCAAAACTGTTTAGAGATTTTGCAATTTGCACGCAGAGATGGAGTTCAAAAGCCACGTATTGCTTAATGCTTTGGCTCCGGTTGAACTTGCCAGAGCTTCAGCATCAGACTGCCTGCGGCTTAAAATCATATGCTTCTTGCCTGGATCACATTTTTCAGGCAACTCAAGGCTGTAAATTATGAAGGTTGAAGATACAGGGGCTCCCTGATCACCTGAAATGGGTTTTCTATGCAGAATGGTGCCTCCTGCAGCAACTACAAGGTCTTGTAGATATCCCCTATAAGAAGGCTCAAAATCTCCCATCATGTAGAGCTTAGACCCATCGAAAAGCTTTGGGTGCTGCATGGAATGTTGTCAAATCAAAATCGTCAGAACAAAATCAAATAAGCAGGCAAGTTCAGTGACAGCATACACATGCACACATCATTTTCAGGATTCTTCAAGATGCCTGCCCTATATCTTATCTTTCAGAAACAAAATAAGAGCCAAACGTATTACGTAAATTTATGGTTTCCAGTAGATAAGACCAAAGAGTCTCACATCAATGGAAGGGTCAGGACTAGCATCGCCCATGAAGACTTAAAATTAAAAAAAAAATCACTCTAAATAATGGCTATAATAATATATTTGAACAGATCCAGAGGAACCGACCTTGTTCAGGAGCCTCAGCCTGCCAAGTTGAGGACCATCCCTGATTCCATGAACATCAAGAGTAATTTCATATTGCAACTCATCAACAGGTTTCATGGCTTTAATGCAAGCTTTGACCCCTGCAGAAATAGAAATTCAGAATGCAAGCAGCAGTTATAATACGCACATGCATTTATGCAAAGCTATTGCGTATGTATCACAGAATAGGCACTTTGGCTCACAAAAATTATAAACTTTAGAACTCAAGCAATTATATTCTCTTGATGCCGATAAAAAATACTAACAATTAATATTCAGTATCCACTTCCCCTCCAAGATACCCATTAAAGTTTTAAGAGTTCTTTTGCATGCTCCATTTTCATCTGTGGATGCAATGATATGGGTCACACTTGAATCCCATTTCTTCAACACTGTTAACCCAGATAATTTCTCAAATTCAGATATGATTTCCTGCAGTTCAAATAATTTAGAAAACTGTTAAGGAATTTCTTTCTGTGAAAGAACAAATGAAAAGCTAAATCCACCGGCCTTACCCTCTCTCCAACTGTAAGAGCTGAACAACAGAGAATCAATTTGTTGGGAGACCCACAAGGATTCCATTTCTTCTGCACACTGATGCCATTGGTTGTAGGAACTCGATTGTAGTGAATGGGAGAATGTCTGGAAACGAAACAAGAGTGAGAAGAAGGATCTAATGGAATTGTCATAGAGCATGAAGCAGTGGAGGAAGTTCATGAGGAATACTAAAAATAAACTAAATGAATCCTCTGCTTACCCTCTCAAAACACGTCTTTTTCTGCTTTCTTGAGATTCTGAATTTTCATTGGGCAACTTAGACGAGGCATGAAGAGGGCATAACACTACAAAGTTTTCCTATAGCAGGGATTCAAAAATAAATAAATAAATAAATAAACACATTAACAAGAGGCATTCTGCGTAAACTTTTCAATAAAAAAAGTACAGGAAGCTTTTCAATCAGCAAAACACTTACAGTGTCCCACCGGCATTCTGAGATTAATTTTGCACAAGGAACATGAAAACTCTTGCGGCAACTCTTTTCATAACAGCCCAACGCTGCACCTTTGAGTCCACAACAGGGGCATTTTATTTTTCGACTCCTGGATAATTCAGCTTCAAGGTTGATTGCCTTATCATTTTCAAAATAAACATTAGGTGCCCTGCAAATATTTTTCTGAAAAGTTATACTACAACAACATCAAAATTGTAAATTCGAAGAGTTAAGTTGGAGACAGTTTATTCCATAAAAATTCTTTTACCATTCAGTGCAGTTCTTGTGTGAATGTATGACCTTTGAGCCACCATTATAATCTAGAGGAACAGGCCTGCCATCATAATAATGAACCATCTGCCCTGAGGCCTGCAATTTTATTTAGCAAATAAGCTTGGGCACGTCAATAGAAGAGATAGGCATAGGCTGTTATAGTCATATCATTGTTAGGAGGAGGTATTTGACAAAACTAAGGACTAACCTCAGACTCTTCGGTAGAAAGACAGAAAGCACATTGTGTTTTATTTGTAACAGTCTCACATTTGCGCAAGGCCATTCCATTTGCAACAGGAAGCTTCTTTGCTGTTGAACCATCTGAAATTCCAACAGTAGGACTCCCTTGAACCTGTTCACTTAATCTCCCCATAGAAACATTGCTATTTCCTAGCTGATGGTCTTCAGCCAACCAATCTTTTGTGTCATCAGTAAAAGATAGTTTCATCTTTTTCTTACAACTTGTGTTTTTCTCGCTTTTCAAACTCAAAGCAGACTTTACTTCTCTAGCACGTTTGATCGATCCTTCACTTAACTGTTTGACACCATTGTCATTAGCTACAGGAATGGAAAAAGAGTTCTGTAGAATCATCTTTTCTTTTGTCTGGTTGTGTGCGGTTGAAACTTCTTCAGGGAAATCAACTATAGCTGAACTTGGTTTTTGTTTCTTTGACTTTGAACAAGATTTCTTTTGGCACGGGCCAGTGATCCTCCTGCAACTTTTTCCTGTCGTCAAATTCTCATATTCATCACCACATTTTTTCTTGCTGGCTCTGGTAGGCAACTTCTTAACCATTTGTGTGTCATCCTGGTTAGGAGTATCTGCATTTCCAGAGGCAGCAGAAACATATGTTGCTATTGGTTCAGTTTCATAGTGATCCAAACCAGCCACCTTATTTATCCTAGTCTTAGCCAAATAAGAATTGCCACTATTGTCAGCTGCTTGGTTTTGATTAAAACCATCAGATAATTTTCCTAGATCAGCATAATTTTTCCAAACAGGACTGGTAGTTCTTTCAGCAATCTTCTTTTGGGCAGTCTTTCTAGCTTTCCTACCTATTTGCCTGGATTTTTGATTCCTAATCTTATTACTAATAGCCTTGGTTCTGGAAGATGACATATTAGGCAGCATTTCTTCTGATGTATCATGTCTAGTTGTCATGCATGCGCCATTATTAATATAGGGTTCGACTGTATTTGCACCTTGTAGTGCTAGTTCATCAGTATCTGCAACCTGCATTTATTTGAAATTATAGTAAATCAGAATGACCAAAACATGATGAAAATTGCTTCAAAAATAAAGCATGCATAATAGCATTTTAGGTGGGGTATTTAATATTACCTGCATTTTAACAGGACTTGGAAGAAGTTCAGGGGAGCAAGCTCTCTGTGTCCATTCAAACATTTCGCTATCGAAGAAATTCACATGACCAGTGTTTCCCTGCACCTCCTCCTACATGGTTTTCAGGAAGATGTAAGAAAAATAATTTCAGGCCATTAAAAAATCATAGCCATTAAAAAGTTCAACTATCTGAGCATCTTCAGATGACACAGGACCTGCTCAAGTCAACAGTAAGTCATTGAAAAGTTGGAGATCTGAGGCAGCTAAGCATGACATAAGTTTAAGGTCTGAACCAATAAACAATTTCATATGCTTATAAATCAAAATCTCGATTATGAACAAAAAGGTAAGATACAGTTATTATTAAATACAAAACCATTTAGACAATTTCTGTAGATGATTCTAAAAATGTACTTAGCTAACACAGAGATGTGAGTACTTACTTTAGAGGAGCCTTCATCATCAGAATCCTTAATATCACTGAAAGAAGGAACTTCAGGTGGTGTTATATACGCAAATTGATCCCCATCAGTAAGCTGACTTGACTTCTCTACATCTTCCTCCCTCAACCAGAAAAAGGGTGCAAGTATTAATTCTTCCTTTTCTTTTAGAACGTAATTCTCCTTTTGAACTATCAAACTGCATTTAGATTCATCCTTGGTGCTTTCAGCCAATCCACGTCCAAGTTTTGCAGCCGACATTTGCATTTCTGTATGAGGATATTGTGGCACCTGAACCCTTTTGTTGGTAGGAAAAGAAGGCTTCACAGGAAGGGGATCAGAATTCACAGTTGTGGACTTATCCACCCTCGATCCTCTTCTTTTGGTCGCTCCCTGATCGTCCACTCTCTCACTACAATTGAGATCATTTTCAACTTGCTTTTCATCATCTGCAATACAAAAAAGCAAAGACTGACTGGAAAATTTCAAACTACATATAAGGTCAAAATATATTCCTGTCTATTCTTATGTCTTATCAAGAAAAGAAAATAAATCTTATGATAGCTTGTACTAAATGAATGTGTGCCTATATTACCTGATGGTCCATCCTGAGGCTGGTTCTGGGTGACAAAAATATTAATACCTGAAGCAATTTCCATGCTTTTATAAATGCTAACCAAGTTATCCATGTGAGGAGCCGGACGAACCTCTACAGCAAAAATAGAAAAGAATTGAGTTGAAAACAGCCAAGCAACTGAAGCTTGTAGATAAACTCAAGTTGACTGTAAGGTTTTGCTGCTTGCTTCTTGTTTCAACAAATTAAAGCAAAAACAAGTACTCATATAACTAAAATGTCACACCAATTCAACAGTATTGTTTGATTTTGCAGCAAAGAACATAAAAACCAACAACCAAACAGAGTGAAGTTGCTGGCCTCAATTGTCAACCAAACAGATAGCAGCAGTAATTATCAAACTTACTGACTAAGAACATAGAAACAATTAAAGGCATGCATATTCTAAAAGCACTGGAAAATCAAGAATGAAACATACCTCTGCGCTGGTAGGGCACTTTGCAAACAGGACAATTGGAACCTGATTTCATTGATTTCATGATACAGGCACTGTAAAAGACCAGAAAAAATTTCGATATCAGGGATTTTCTTTGTTCCATTTTCTCTGAAGTGTAAAGGGCTTATATAACTTACTTGCAGAATACGTGGTTGCATGTAAGTGAAACGGCAGAATTCAACAGACCCAAGCTGCGAAATAGATATTGTTTTAATAAAAAAAATTAAGAAAAATGAAAAAAAAAAACACGAAAGAGGATGAAGGGTTTGTCTGGGTTAATGAGAATATACCAAATGGGGCATTCGAGCTCTCTGCCCATTTTCTCCAGGTGACTTGGATCCCCCATTTTTGGGTCTTGATCAGGGAAATAATCGTTCCTTTCTTCTTGAGAGAGATAGATAGAGAGACAGAGAGAGAGAGAGAGGGAGTTAGCGACGGAAGGCAGACGAAACGAAAGATATGGATTATGGCGGAAGATTGTCTTGGAAGAAAGCGCAAAACTGAAATCTCAATTTTCGAATTTTTGAACCCGCCAAAGATTTCTCACCAGTTCGCGGCTGTATTTCAAAAAATGGGCTGGCCATTGTAAGGGACTCGGGAAACCCAAGCTAAAGGAGCGTTTGGGGAAGATGGGCTGGCTTTACAAGGTTTTGCCCAAGGGCCCAGACCCAAGTCCAAAATTCATTGGTGAGAGTATGTATTTGATCGTTTTGGTCAGTTTCATCTGAATATTTTGAACTAATCTAATCAATCAAAAACTATTTTAAAAATAATCATCATATAAGTATTGTTTTTACATTTTTTTTAACAATTTTTAACAATATTTTTGAAGAAAAATATAGAAAAAGTTAATCATCTTTAGAGTCTAATTAAAATAAATTCAATTTACAAAGATATTATTGTTTAAAATAATATCCATTGGTCACTGTTTAATGTGAATGTGGCTTATACCCCAAAACGATGTTGCCATAAGTAAATTTTAATAGAAATTAGAAATTGCGGACAATTAAGAAAGGAGTTGAGTAACCAAAGAATAAATGATAAAGTACATCCATCAACCAGGTAAACCAAATGTTTACGCAGGAGTGTTTCAGTGTGACGGACAATGGAACAGAGATAAATTGGATAATTAACTTAAAACTGCTGTGTTGCTTACTGATAACAATGGTGGAATTCAAGTATCGGTTTGTACCATGAACAGAGCGAGGGCAGTGCAAGTGAGCAAACTTTGCCATTTCAAGTTTGAACATTCACCTTCATCTCTGTACCTGAATTGCATTCCATTGCTTATCAGTACCTGAGATTTTGAATAGAATCCTTGAATTGGACTACCAGTAATCCGCACAAGAACAAGAACCGTTTCTGAAATGGTGAAACCTACTTCGATCCCTGACAATAATCTCTCGTTTGAAAACTTTTGATAGAAGCTTAATGGCCGTATGACAATCAGCACATACTCTCAAGTTCTTCACAACCCTGATTGGGGTACCTGGTGCTGCCTTAAGCAGCATGAAAGCAATTGCAATCTTCTCGCTATGGTAAGACAAAGCATTCTCCTTTTCTTCTTCCTCTATATCAGCAAGCACATTGGCTGTATCGGGAGCATAACCTTCTAATCTTAACCTCGTTGTGATTTCTGCTAGCATTGCATAGATTTCCTCGCTTTGAGGATGAGATCTATCGCCCATGACAAATTCGTACACATGATTGCCCAACTCTACAAGGCTATAACCTGGTACTTTCTTCACCCCTTCCCTAAGCATTTTACGCCTCAAGATGTGCACATCAGACCAGCGTTGCTCTGATGCATATAGGTTCGAGAGGAGCACATAGTCACCACTACATCCACGTTCTAGCTGTAAAATTTGAGCTCTTGCGTACTCTCCTAAAGTCAAATGGCCATATGTGGTGCATGCTCCGAGCAATGTCCTCCAAATAACAGCATTAGGCTGCAATGGCATGTTTTGGATGTACTGATATGCCTCCTTTACCAAGCCAGCCCTACTCAACAGATCAACCATGCAACCATGATGTTCTATCTTGGGCAAAATACCATATTCCTCTTTCATCCTCGTAAAATAATTGAAACCTTCATCAACCATCCCGCAATGACTACAAGCATAGAGAACCCCAACAAAAGTAACCTCACTAGGCACCAATCCCTCTCTTTCCATCTGCTTGAAAAGCTGAAGTGCTTCCTTACCAAAGCCATTGACAGCCAATCCAATAATCAAAGAACTCCAAGAAACAACATTCCTTTCCTTCATCTCATTAAATACCTTCTTGGCCTCTCTAATGCTACCACACTTTGCATAAAGGTCCAAAAGCGCATTCTTAACATGCAAATTCTCACTCAAACCAACCTTCACTATATACACGTGAATTCTGTTACCCAATGCCAAAGCACCTAGCTCAGCACAAGCAGAAAACAAACTGACCAAAGTGAACCCATCTGGCTCCACACCCTCCAAACACATTTCCCTGAAGAGAGTCAAAGCCTCGTTAGGTTTCCCATTAAGAGCGAAACCATTGATCACAGAATTCCAAGCCACGACGTCTCTTTCAGGCAATAATTCAAACACCTTATACGCACTGTCGACGAGTCCACAGGCAGCATACATATGAAGCATAGAGTTCTGAACAAAGACTAACGAATCGAACCCATTTCTTATAACAGTGGAATGCATATTTTCACCAACTCTTATGTCCGCCAACTTGGCAACGGCTTTTAAAAGAAAAGGGTATGTATGAGTATCAGGTTCGATGCAAGACGTTTGCATCTGGCTGTATAATTCCAGGGCGGCCTCTGGGTTTTCACTCTCCGCATAACCTCTAATCATGGTATTCCAAATGAATACATTGGAGCTCTGGATACGAGAAAAGATGCTGTAAGGATAAGACATGGGAGTCGAGAGGGAAACAAGATTGTAAATAAGGTGTTTGCCGATATCAGGGTCGTTGAGTGGGACCCCATGCCTGAGAGAGAAAGCGTGGATTTGTCTGAGTTTGAGTTCAGAAGAGCTACAGTTCTGTAAGAGTGAAATGCATTTCTTGACAATGAAAGATACTGGATTTTCAGGGCAAGATGATGCGGGTGGTGGCGTTGTGGAGTAGAAACATGAGGTCGTTAAAGACGAGAAAAGGATGAATGAATGGTTCCTTGGGTGCTTTGAGAGCATTGGTTCATGTTTGTCTCACCAGTCTTGTTTCTGGCCCTTAGTATGCGGTTTCCGGGTCTTGCTGGATCCTGGAACTTGCTTAAATCTCTCATACGGATTCTCGATTCTCAGTAGCCATCGGAGTGGACATGAAATTCATCCCAAATTCTTTTATATATGCAAATGCTACTTTGGTAAACGGTTCTGATAATCAACGGGGCAGAAGCTGGAGGAGGTAACAGCTTTTAAACTAGGTGAGCTCAATTTCTTCAATGGAAAATATGTCCAGGGTGGCTCTAGCTAATTTGATCTCTGCTTCGTGCTTGATCAGACTGTAGATTAATCAGAAGAGTTTTCCCGCTAATTTACTGAAGTTGTAACATTACACAGGGTTTCCAAGTTTCAACCATACATTACATCTAAAAATCCTCACCAATGCTTATTGGCAAACTATATATGTGGCAAAGAAGGGGCTGTACGTACAAGCAGATAGCTCGCTTATGTCTCTATCTTGAGCTAGGATATTGAGGGTAGAAAAAGAATGGAAAATGAAGAGTAAAGAAAGGATCTTTGGATCAATCAAAAATTTCCCATTGTGCCATGGCCGAAGAAGGCTCAAACGTCTCCCATTTGGTTGTGACGATTACAGGCTTTACTCTAGCATTTGATATCTTCAACGTGTCAAGGGTTTCAACGCATTTCTGAACTCTCTTGCCCTGGAAAAACGAAACCATGAATAAGTTTGTAGTACTCAATGGACAACAAATGCGCAAATTATTGTACGATTTAACACATTAATCACAATTTCAGCAAGGAGACAATTGCAGCGGAAATCTGGGTCATTTATTTATGGCTATGGTTAACTACTGAAACTTGTCAGCCAAAAGCTGACAGAATTCAGCGCATTTGTTCTGTTGAATGGATTATTCCTCATTCATGATGATTGTGAATCATATAGAGAGAAGTTAAAGGGTGCATCCCAAGGATGTTACAGCTATTAACTGAAAATTTCTTATTTGATAGAAAAGAAGAATTCATATTTCCAGGTACCTGCAAAATTTTCTGGGCAAAAGCATCTCCCTCTGCAGCGATGTTTTCTAGCTTGATTGCTTGTCTCATGAGCATCTCAATAAGAGTTGTGATTTGAACCTCCGGTACCTTAACTCCACCAGAGATTGATTTTTCGATTGCAGAAACCTGATGACCCAAAAACAGAACATTTATAATCATAGATCATAATCTGTCTGTGTACAACAATAACAGGAAGAATTACATACTAAATGCTTGTGTTTCTAATAAGAAAAAAGGAATGTCACTCTAGGATTTGAGTGTTTTAGGCCATCACAGTGAGCCTGTGAGCTGGTGGCACACACCCCCTAGAAAAAATCAGAATATGATGTCCAAAGTCAGGTGAACAAAAGATGAATGCGCCTGGACCCTTGGCCCTGATGAACCCAAGCTCCAAAAAATGGCAGTAATTGGTGGCCAGGTTCGTTTCTGCTTTTAATCGACACAGCCACAGTGTAAATGCATAAAAAGACCAGTGCCCCACTTTGAGGTCCAGATTCTACACCTAAATCATAACTGGAAACCCCATCTGTATCTTCATGTCATCCAGCTATTTGATCATGACACTTTCGATTCTTTCATTGCTTTCCTCATCCATATTCTCATCAGCAACATAATGAGCACTAACAAAAAACTTGCCAAATAAACAATCAGGGCTACAGACGATGAACTGAGATGAAAATATAAAATGAGGCATTTTGCTTACTTGGTCCGCCAGCTTATCGACTTCCATGGAGACGTCGTTGATGGCGCGGTGTGCGCTCTGGATCTTGGCGTTTCTGCGCATCTCGATGAACCTTCGCTCGATGCTCGCTGGGTCCTCCATCAGTATGACTTTCGATCGGTCTTTGACCCCGCACATGTCTAGATACTCCACCGTTTCTCTCTCTTTCCCTTTGAATATCACTCTCTGTTCGCCCGCTTGCAACCCTGTTTCCGCTGTTAGACGTTTCTTCACCTCCCCTGTCGGTCAATCCAACGTCAACTTTCCCATTTTATCCTCAAGTATTTTTCTTTATATATTTATATATATATATATATATAGACACACACACTGACACACACACTTTCAGTGTTTAACGTTGAAGTAATGAATAATAGAAAAAGTAGGGATCTGAAGCACCCATGCAACCCCTCACGTAACAGTAAAAACAACAACTCAACTTAAAAAAAAAACTGAGAATAACAACATTCCCCACTGCCATTATTTTCTCCCCACTTTCTCACCTACCAAACAAACAGAAAATGGAAACCATGGAAG